TTTAAAGACCTTTTATATTATGTGTGATTATTGATAAGATAGGCCATAAGACTTTTCTATTGTTTTGTTTGTTTTATTGTGTGGTTAGTTGCTTGTTGAAGCATTTTTATGATGGTTCTTTGAAGTTATGTCAGATAATTATGAGCATTTCTGTCATTTTGGTGTTTGAATTTATTATGTTTTTGCCTTCTCTGTGAAATCTTGGTTCTTGTTTAAGTAATTTTTTTTATTGAAACCTGGACATTTTTAATACAATATGAAACTTCGGATTTCATTTTTAATAGCTTCCTGTAGCACCACTCTTTGAGGAGTGGAAACTGCACCCATTGACATCCAAGAAAGGATGCTTCTTGTTACTAATAGGCAAGGGTGAGAGTTCTGGGTCCCCTTTAGGCCTTCACTGATAACTGTCTTGTCTGAAAGGGGTAAGAGTGCCTTCTTAGCTATTCCCCATATAGCCTCCATTGACCCCATTAGGGTGGTGGCCTTTTACCAGTGGGTGATGGGGAAAGCCCAGACTTTTTACCATGTCAGCTCTATACCACTGCAAGGCAGAGGAGAATTTGCTGCTCATTATTCCTGAGTAGAAGTTCATGTTCTCTATGTGCTTTGTACCAAACACTATAAGAGTTGAGAGAGAGGTCATATATCCTGGTGAGGGTGGATATTTTAGGTCCCTAAAGTCTTCACTGGCATAGGTGGGAGTTGGATCACAGGTTTTTTGATAGTGTGTGACTAAAATAGAATGTTTAGTTTTTTAAATTTTGTCCTCCTTTGCTGTTCCTTTCCTAGTCTTTTGGCTAGAAAAAGTTGAGGTTTTTGTTGGAGCTCTCTTGTCTTCTCTCATTGTTTCTGGTTTGCTGGCTTCTTCAGCCCCAAGGCTGAGTATGTAAAGCAAGAATAAACTCAAGGAACTTGCCACTCTTGTTATTCAAGTCTTCACTTTTGGAATTCTATTACATTTGTTTTATATATGATATCTGTGGAACATCATATATAAAGGACAGAGGGAAGGATGGTGAAAGAGATATATTTATTCCATCTTGATGAAATTGAAAGTTATTTCTGTTTTGATCCCAGGGATGCCTTACCACTGAGCTATATCCCCAGCCCCTCCCCTCTATCCCCTTTTGAGCCAGTCTTGCTGAGTTGTTGAGGCTGCCTCAGACTTGCTTTCCTCCTGTTTTAGCCTCCCTAGTAGCTGGGAGAAAGTTATTCCTTTTAACTATTTTTTTTTTTTTTTATCCCACTCATGCTAGTGCCTCTTTTGTATGCCATTTTAAAACCAAGTTTTTTCTTGCCACATTTTTTTGGTTCATTATAGTTGCATATAATTATAGTATTTGTTGTTACATATTTATATGTGCACATAATATAAGACTATAATTTGGCTGATATCATTCCCCAGCACTCCCCACATCCCACTCCTTGTTTTCTTCCCTCTTCTGATGTCAGTTTGACTTTCATGAGATCCCTGCTCCCCCTACATTTTTATTTTTTCCCTCCTCTTTGGTGAGAGAAAACATATGACCCTTGACCTTCTGAGTTTGACTTATTTCATTTAACATATTGTCTTAGGTTCCCATCCCTTTTCCTGCAAATGACGTAGTATCATTTTTCTTGATGGCTGAATAAAAACTCATTGTGTATATATGCTACATTTTCTTTATCCATTCGTCTATTGATGGATACCTAGGCTGCTCCATAGTTTGGCTATTGTGAATTGTGTTGCTATAAACATGGGTATACATGTATCACTATAGTATTGTTTTAATCAGCTTTTTTTGTTGCTGTGACTAAAGAATCTAACAAACAATTTTAGAGGATGAAAAGTTTATTTAAGGGCTCATAGTTTCACAGATCTCATTCTCAATAGACAGCTGGCTCCATTCCTCAGGGATCCAGGTGAGACAGGAACAACATGGCAGAAGAGTATGGCAGAGGGAATCAGCTCATATGGTGATCAGAAAGTAGAGAGAGAGATACTCCACTCTTCAGATACAAAATATATTACCCATAGCGACAGCCCCAATGAATGGCTTCCTCCAGCCATACTGTACCTGCCTCCAGTTACCACTCAGTTATGTTAAGGCTATAACCTAATCATTCCTCCTCCAACCTTCTTGCATTGTCTCACATGTGAGCTTTGGGGTATACCACATCTAAACCATAAATATTGAGGAGTGGTATAGCTGGGTCATATGGTGATTCCTTGCACAGTCTTTTGAGAACCTTGATAGTGATTTCCATAGTGATTGTACTAATTTACAATCCCACCAACAGTGTAAAAATGTTTCTTTCTCTGCACATTCTTTCCAGCAATAATTATTTTTTGTATTCCCAATGACTGCCATTCTGACTGTTGTGAGATGAAATCTCAGTGTGATTTTGGTTTGCATTTCCCTGTTGAAGTTGAACATTTTTTCATGTATTTGTTGGCCATTTGTTTGCTTTTTGGTACTGGGGATTGAACCCAGACATGCTAAACCACTGAGCCACATCCCTAGCTCTTTTTATTTTTTGAGACAGGTTCTTGCTAAATTGTTGAGGGTCTTAGTTGCTGAGTTTGTCCTTGAACTTGTGATGTTCCTGCCTCAACCTGCTGAGTCCCTAGGACCACAGGTGTGCACCACCCGGCTTTGTTGGCTGTTTGTATTTCTTTTTTGAGAAGTGTCTCTTTAATTCATTTGCTCATTTATTAATTGGGTTATTTGGTTTTTTGGTGCTGAGTTTTTTTAATTCTTTATATATTCTAGATATTTTTCTATCAGAAGAGTAGGTAGAAAAGATTTCCCCCATTTTGTAGGTAGAACCAAGTTCTTCAGAAGTGTTTGTTTATACTTATTTTCTCTAGTTCTTCTCATTCTTTCTTAAACCTATTCCAGTAGAATTTTTATCCCTATCACTTCTCTGAAAACAGTTTTTCAATGTGTCATTTATAAGTGAATAATAAAAGCAATAATACCACAATTTATGGTTACACCTAAAGTTTTACTCTGTAGGCTTGAAAGCTGTATTAAATTGAATTCTGTTTAGATTGGTCAAGAAAATTTGAATAGTCACGTAGCCATTAAAAATATTAATTCAGTGGGCTGGGATTGTGTCTCAGTGGCAGAGGACTTGTCTCATACATATGAGGAACTGGGTTCAGTCCTCAGCACCACATGAAAATAAATAAATAAAATGAAGGTATTGTGTCCATCTACAATTTAAAAAAATATTAATTTTGTAATTTTTTTTCTAGTACAGTTAAGTAGTTTAATGCTGATTTATTAATTTAGTAGTTTTTAAAGCCTTTCTTTTCCCTCAATAAAAAGGCCCAAATGCTTAATTTGTGTTTGGACAAACACTAATCCCAAGGTTACATAAATTTTTTCATGAAACAGAAAAAAAGTGAAATGATCCTTATTTTGTTTTCTGAGGCTTATGTAAAGAATATTACAAAAACTAGTAAGGAGAGTGTACCAAAAAATGAAATTTTTTTGGCTTTAGTTTCCCTTAGAAACAGCGGGGGAAAAAAATCTAGCAGCATGTAAAACAGGTAACATGACTTAAGTTTGGCTTATTTTAGATATGCAAGATTTAATCAACATTAGAAATGTATCCAAATGGCTGGACATGTGAGGCAGGAGGAACCTGGTTTCAAAACCCACAGAAATTTAGGGAATCTCTGAGCAACTTGGCCACACTGTCTCTGAATAAAAAGGGCTGGGGATGTGGCTCAGTGGTTAAGTGCCCCCTGGGTTCAATCCCCAGGACCAAAAAAAGAAGTATACAAAATGTGTACACCTTAATAGAATTTTAGCTTACTATACATTTAGGATAGTGAAAGTCTTAGTCAAATTTGAAAATGCTAGGTATTATGTATTATATCATGAGCATTAAAATTCAATTTTGAGTAGAATACTGTGGGTCATAGTTCATGACACAACTAAATTTGATCAGTGTGTGTCAGATGGTCTCAGAGGTGGCAAAATGTGAGTTAGGTCTTGATGGGTAATATTTTGTCAGAAAGTTGAAGTCAATGTGTTAAGTAGAGAAAGTAAGGTATGCTAAACCATAGCTGTGGCATATGGGAGCGGTTAATTGAAATAAAAATAGAGTACAGTAAGGATGTTCTGAAATGGCAAGAAGATGAGACTGGAGATTTGTGCCACTTATGGAGACTTTGCCTTGCTTCTTGTTCAAGTTGGAACTTGCTAACCCTGTGAGAGTTAGAAAACCAGTCAAAATTTTTGAGCATTGTACCTGTTTTTAATTGTTTATATTTAATGTATTGTCTTTAGAAATAACATGTATAACTCTTTTGCATGCTTTTGTGTATTTATCTTACTTGAAGTTAAATGCTTCTACTGATAACTTAATTTTTTGTTTGCTGTGTGGGAATCAGGATTTATTATTGGGCCACTTAATATAATTGTTAATTATATAATATATAATATTATATTACCACTTAATATAATTGTTAATTACTTCTGTGTTGTGTCCCTAATTTTTAAAACCACTTATGGCTGATATCTTTCACCAAGCTGTTGCCTAAGAACTTTCCAATGAAGTATGTGATAGAGGCCTCATTAATTATATTATTTATATCCCATTCTTTTTTCTTTTTTACTTTCTCTTTTGCAATTATGTGTAATAAAGGCATATTTTAATACATGTCTTTTAAAGAGATACTTATGATTTTATTAGAATTTTATGGTTGAGTTCCATCCCCTGACCCCCAAAGAAAAGTCTTTGGAATAAGCTTTCATTAATTGTTGTTTTTTTTTTTTTAATTGTTCAAAACATTACGTAGCTCTTGACATTAATTGTAATTGCCAGGGCTTCTTTATATTTTTCCTTTTATTATTGTATTGGTAGATAGAAGGCATATTACTCTAAATTTGTGAGAGAATTTTGAACTTAAATTAACTTTATAAATGTATTCGTTCTTAATACATTCCTTCTAACTCCCTAAAAATGTTTTAATTTTCTTCATTATATATTTTTTACTCAAGGTGTGATTGCACAGAAAAGTTACAGAACAAATTTGATTTTTTGCGCTCACAGCTGAATGACATTTCATCATTTAAGAATATATACAGATATGCCTTTGATTTTGCAAGGGTAGGTGTGCAGTTTTTCTTCCTTAAGTCATTGTAATTGTTTTTCATCTTAAGACCATACTTAAGAAAATTTTTTCACTTATTTTAGGATAAAGATCAGAGAAGCCTTGATATTGATACTGCTAAATCTATGTTAGCTCTTCTGCTTGGTAGGACATGGCCACTGTTTTCAGTATTTTACCAGTACCTGGAGGTATGCATTTTTAAAAAAATTTTGATTAAATATTTAAAAAACAATCTGATTTTAAAATATTGAGGAACAAGTCACTTTTAAGTCCTGTACTTTTAAACATTATTCATGAGTATTGAAAAAATTCTGTTAAAATGTGTAAATTTCTATTGTCAGTTTTAGACCCAAGTTCATGTGATTTGATATATCCTTTACATAAGAATTTGGGGAATTAGGGGTATAGTTTTGTGGTATAATGCCTGTTTAGTGTGCATTAGACCCTGGGTTCAGTCACTAGCACTAAGTTGGAAGTGAGAGCTCCAAAAAATTTATTTAAGAGAATGACTTTAATAGCATGCTTGACTTTACTGATTACTAAAAAAAGAAAAAAGTATACTGAATTTATGAAGCAAATATTCTTGGAGAGGGGTATCATTGTTCTTACTAGCACAGTGGTTCTAAAACGATACTATTCTTTTTTACATTGTTTTATCTAGTTTCATATCTGTTTTCATTGACTTCTTTTCTCTTTTTTTGCATTGGGATTGAATATAGAACCTTACATGTCCTAGGCAGGTGCTCTGCCACTGATCGTCATCCTTAGCCCTTTCTTTCTTTCTTTCTTTATTTGAGAAATGTTCTCACTAAATTACCTAAGTTGACCTTAAATTTTGATCCTCCTGCTTCAGCCTTCTGAGTAGCTGGGATTACAAGGATGTACCACCACATCCAGCTTATGCCTTTTAATTTTTTCTTGGTATAGTTCTTGCTATTTTTTGAATAAATAAGTTTTCCTTTGGAAATAATTTCTCATAAAGCTAATATCACAGCAAGTTGTCCAGAGTAGTTTTACTTAAAACTTATAATAAAGGACAGTGGCACTTATATGAAAGAATTTTTTGCACAATAAATTTTTAAGCCAAATAAAGTGAATATTTTTCACGAATAGTGCTTACCTTTCTCCTGTTTCTATTTTTAGGCAAAATTAAATTTAACTGAATGTAAAGACATTCACCTCTGAGAAGCTAAGTTGAAAACTAAATATTTTCACACACTTATTAATATGCAAACTATTTGACATATGTTTTCTTTTTAAATCATTATAACACCATTTTTAAGTTAAGTTTTCTCTCCAGGAAATGTATTCTATTCTTTTTTTTTGGTACCCGGGATGAACCCAGGGGCACTTAACCACTGAGCCTCATTCTTACTCCACCTCCCACTTTTTTAAATTTTTGAGGTAGGGTCTTTCTAAGTTGCTTAGGACCTCACTAAGTTTTTGAGGTTGTATTTGAATTTGCAGTCCTCCTGCCTCAGTCTCCCAAGCCTCAGGGATTATACCATACCTGGCTATGAGTTCTATTCTTAAGTAACTTTCTCAGGTCCTTCAATTAAGCGACAGAAGTGGAATTTGAACCCACTATTTCCATTAGACACCAATCTCAAAATGTAGTTCATGCAAGAAATATACTTGGAAGGAACACAAGGGAACTTTCTAGAAATGGGAAATGTTCTATATCTTGATCTTGTTGTTAGTTACACAAGAACATACAGATAGAAAAATTGTGACTTTTAATTATTAGTATACTTGTACTTACTAATATTATTCAAAAATTGGAGAAAAAAAACTAGTAGTCGTCAATATGTAAATGCTCTTGAGGATTCCCTAAGAACACAAATAGTTAATAGAGAAATAAATGTTTTAGGAAATGCCAAAGCACACAAAAAATTATAATATATTGACTGAAGTTAAATCCTGTTAAGTAATGTTTGTTCTGAAGTTCACAGCAATTTGTTTTGATTTCCACAGCAATCAAAGTATCGTGTTATGAACAAAGATCAGTGGTACAATGTATTAGAATTCAGCAGAACAGTTCATGCCGATCTTAGTAACTACGATGAAGACGGTGCTTGTAAGTATGGTGTATTTCTATGAAAATAAAATTCCTAAAAATATTATGCATTTGTGGAGCATTAACATAACAGTTTTAAACATCATAACAGTAACTTTTACTGTTTAGCCAGGTTATGAGGAAGGTCAAGAGCTTAGATTCAGTAATATTATAAAATTAATTCTGGTAAATGTTTCCATTCCTTAGTAACCATACATAATAGCTAAACTTAAATGATAATTTCTGCATTTAGAAGCCAAAATTCTGCTTTGTCTTTCCTGTAGAAAAAAAAATCATGATTTTAAAAACAAGAACTATACTAGAAAAAGCTTTAAAATTAATGATGGTACCTATTAATGATATGGCAGATAATATCAATAACTCACTACAATTTCAACCTTCCAATTAAAATATTTGTACTCTTTTTTTTTTTTAAGAGGTAAAACTTTTTAATCTCAGAGTGCCCCTCCCAATTTTCAATCCCCCCAACTCTCTCCTCTATATCAGGGCTGGAGAGTGAGGCCCCCTGCCCTCTACCTCTGGTGGACGAGGGCCCTTTAAGGCACCTGTGGGGGTGGGAGAAGAGGAATGGGAGCTGGTTCCATCCTGGATGCAAGGACAGGTTTCAGTTGGCAGGTTTTTGTGGGATGGAATCATTGAGGTGGTGTGTCAGACGCACACACAGGATTGGGCCATCCCTGATGTGGCCAGGGTCACAACTGTCAGGACTAGGGGCAAAAACAACTCTTAAGTGGATAAAACAGATTTGGAGTAACGATTATTTAGATGGGCCAAATTACTCTCTAGAATTATATATTTTTAGTTTTTACTATTATTTTGATTTCATGCGTTGTTTTAATGTTCAGAGCAGTTAACCTGGAAAAGGAATTAAAATGATGCATTTAATCATTTACTTTGTGTTTATCTTTATACCATGTCCCCTTTTTAGAATAAAGTCTTTTATATGGCCTATCTCCCCTTAACAATCTTACAATACTTGGGAATGTAACAGAACTACTACCTTAATCACTTTTTACATTATGATTAAATGCCAGAATGCTATGGAAGAGGTTAATAGTGACTCAGTTATTAGAAGGTTCATGAAACACCTTGCAAAGAAAATTGCTATGAATACCCATTGTAGAAAGTCCCACCTTTTTTTTTTTTTTTTCGGGCAAAATGGAAAAGGCTAAGAAAATACCAATATGTAGAAGAGGGAGACTGGAAACAAAACAGGATAGGTCAGACTATCATTACTAAACATATGGAGAATTTGTTATATAGTTGGAGAGATGAGTTTATTGAATTCTAATGAGACTTGTTTCATTATTTCTAGGGCCCGTTCTTCTTGATGAATTTGTTGAGTGGCAAAAAGTTCGTCAAACATCATAGCAAGAACTATTGTGAAGAAAATGCAAACTTTTTGTTTCCCACATGTATACAAACTAATGAAACGAGGGGGAAAAATCCAAAGGGTGCATTTTCATTCATATGAAAGACTTCTCATAGTACTTTTTTTTTTTTTTCCTTTTTTTTAAAGGAAGTTTCCTTGTTACATGTGAGCGGCATTGAGCCACACCTCTTCTGAGACTGAATATTGACATTTTTGTTTCAAGTTATGTTTTTAACATTTATTTCAGAACAATAAAGATTCAGATTTGTGACAAAGGCCTTAAAGTGAAGATGTCCCTTGAGTGTCAGAGTGGTATTTATTTTTGTAAGTTTGAATTCTTGATTTTTGAGGTTCAGAATTACCATGAATTGGTGAAATTTTAGAGATTTTAAGCAATCTTAATATCCGGCAATGTAGTCTGCTGATGGTATAGCTCATATTATTTATCTTTGCACAATTAGGAAGAATAATTATTGGCCTTGACTTATAATGATTTTCTGATGCAGCTAGTAAAAAACATTTCTAGATATTGGAAGTGCTCCAGCTTTCAGCTGTGGGTATCTGTAAAAGCTGTCAAGGTCTTATGTATGTATCTTACTTGAAAAGTTTGGAAAGATTATGTTATTTTGTTTTTTGACCTTGAGATATTTTTAATAAGCATAAATGAGCCCTGCATGTGTATATTTAACATGAATTTTAAGTTTTGTGTATTTCTGTCAAAGAATTTCATTTACATTTGAAGTAGCAAGGTTGATATATTAATGGTCTCAAAATCAGACATTCTTTTAAGAGCATTAGGATCAATATTGAAGTTGTATTTTTATCATTAATACAAATGGCATATTTATGATATTTTTAACTATTATTTTATAATATAGAGAGTTTTGTTGAGAGCACTGTTATTTTCCTTAAGAAAACTTTAGCTTTGATTTTTGTGGACTTTGTTAAGATATGTAAAAGAAAAGAAAATAGAATAATGGATCATGAGAGAACTCTGGCTGTAAGTGCAAACTTGGTGATGTCATTTAACATTGGTAGTATTACAGTTTTGCTGTTTGTCACAATTTTCTGACTGTTGGCAATACAGTATCTTGAAGAAATGACAGCCTTATTCACATAAAAGTCACCTTTTGGTTAGCTGCAGGCATGTTTTATACATTCCTTTTCAAACCATCCAGTATTCCAGCGATAAGAAAACTTGGTTCACATTCACAGTTCATTCACAACCTCAGTAATATTCATAGTCTCATTGTATAAATGAAGAGAACTAAAGAGGTTATTTTTCCATAATAAGGAAATTTCTGTTGATCTAAAGTAAAGGTTGGTTGTTTTGATAGTGAATTTGTTTAATGAGTGATTTTCAGTATTAATTACCTAAGGGAAAAATAGCATTTTGAAACTTATTGTTTGCTTCTTGGTTAATGAACATAAAGTGATTGCCAATGTTTTACTTGCCTTCTTAACAAGATTATTTTGTACAGTTTTGTAAAACACTGATAAAATAGTGGAAAATAATTCTTTTCCTCAATACCTTTAGATAAAGATTATTTTCTTGGAATATTCCTCTTAAGGGTTAGAATTAGCAAATTATTAGAAAGGAGCACATGAACATTTGTGATTTAGTATCATGAATGATGTTTTAACATCAAATTAATAATATAAGAAAAGGATTTACATTGTAGAATTTCTAATATAATTGACTCTTCTAAGGTACAAGTTAAAACAATTGAAGAATATTGTCCACTTTTGTTTAATTCAAAAGAATTTAAGTGAAATCTTACAAGTTGTTACTTTATAACTTGAACTAATTGTAAAAATCTTTGTAATCTTTATTATTTGAGTAAAGTGAGTAACACTCAAAACTTATAGGGTGACTTTAAAAAAATTTTTGATTAGATTAACTATCCAAGGGTTCCTTTAATATTTTGGCAGGGGTTGGTTCTGAATATGAAAATTAAATTCACTTTTTTTCTGCCTAAAGTTAGTGGTCCAATTCGATACTGGTCATGTGCCTGTTTTACTTTCTTGCTCCATCTGTTTCTCTTACCTTTCTAAAGCCATATAACACTCACCTAATTCAGTGGCATATGCCTGTATAACCCCAGTATCTTGGGAGACTGAGACAGAAGGATCAAAAGTTCAAGGTCAGCCTCAGCAACTTATCTAGACCCTGTCTCAAAATTTAAGAGTGGGGGGTAGACAGGGGCCTGGGAATGAAGAAGCTTGGTGGTTAAGTGCTCCAGAGTTTGATCTCCACTACCCCCCACCCTGTTTACTTACTTTGCCGGCAAATTTGCTTGGCCTTATTCATCAGGGCATGGGCTGTGTCCCTTCTCTCCTTTCTTAATTTATATTTGAACAACTTTCAGTTTATTGGGAAACTTATAATCAAGATGCTAACTGGTTAAGATATTAACTGGTCAAGATGTTTAGCAAAGAGGACAGTATTAAGGAACTTGCAGTATGAAGAAGTCTCCTAAGTGTTGTGGCTCTTTTTTTTTTTTTTTTTTTTTAAACTAAAGTGCCTTCCCAGGAATCCTGTTGTAAAATCTTTTAATTTATTTTCTTCGTATGGAATGAAATACTCGATGGTGCTTTATAACATGGAGTTGACGTGCTGCTTATAAAATAGTTTACAAATGTAATACTACTGGAAGAAAGTAGAGCCAGGTATTGATTCTTTGTGGGAGGTTGGAGTAGTTGCCTTCCACAAATCCATGGGGTCAGTAATTTTTAATAAGGTATAGTCATTTAGAAGAAAATTGACCAGGGATTTGGGTAACATAGTATGATAAAAATGTGTATTACATGCTGATCTGGATCTGTTACCCTATTTTTCTCTTATTATCTAATGATTTCTTGTTTTTAAAATGATAAAATTCTCGACAATACATTTTTAATGGTTATATTTTTATGTGTAATGTGAGACCTCCCATGGGATTATTAAATTGACCCTCAGGATTATATATCCCTTAAGTACAAATGCCTTTTTATCTAGCAAACCAAAAGTGTATCTTAACAATATTGAATGCCATCACTTTTCAGTGTGAAGGGGATGAAGGTGAGAGTAGAATTTTGACATAACTAGAGTTTTTAAGGCATGCACAATTATGTGGAGTGGTCAGATTCTAGACAAATGAAATACATTGCTAATAAAACAAATTTTGAATTGTATCTTAAGCAAAATGTCTTTTCTGCCTAGTCACTAATGGGAAATTATGAAAGGACTTACTGAAATGTATTATGTGCTTAGTTTTTGAGGAGCTGTTAGTAAGAATGCTGACGTCTTTTGTTTTACTGCCTCTTGATGAAGTATTCTTGATACTATTGTGACAATTCATAAAGGGATAATACTTTGTTCTGGCTTTTAAGCCTGAAGTTTTTAGCACATCTCTCACATGCTTCTCAAATGTCTAATGCAGCAAATAATTTGAGGGCATTTAATGCATGTAATTTAAATACTTTTTTTTTTGTTAAAAAGAGAAAAGTTAGAAAGCTAAAGAATTTTTTTCTTTTTCCTAGAGAGAAATTCTTCCTTAAGGAAGTATATCACTTCTTGAGTGATACTGGAAAACATCACAAGGAAACATTTCAAAGAAGGAAGCATTTTCTCTTCAAGAGAAATGAAAAATAGGAAAACTGTAAATTTCCTCAGTAGGAAAGACTAATGTGAATTATTAAATATTCTGGATCATAATTTTTAATGACTTTAATTTTATCACTTTCATGAATATTTAGCAATAACGAGACAAAAATATTACAATTCAGTCTTTTTTGTTAATAGACCTACTTATACCTATGATTATACTGTTAAAGCCCAGAAAACATTATAACTTTTATGATAAACTTTATAGATTGTGGAACTGAATCGCTGCCACAAACCTTGGATAAATTGTACTGATATTGTAGATATTTTTCTAGTGAATTTTTACTTCACTGGAATAAATTTAAAAAAATATTTATTTATGTATCTTTAGTTTTTTAGGTGGATACATTAGTTTGTTTTTATGTGGTGCTGAGGATCGAACCCAGTGCTAGGCGAGCATTCTACAACTGAGCCACCACCCCAGCCCCTGGAGTAAATCTTTTGATGTTTAATTTATTTGCCTTTTCTTAAACACCAATTTTAATAAAACTGATTAGGCATTTACTGTATCCACCTCACAATCTTCTGTATTCTATGAGTACAGATAGTGTTTCCTTAATTCCTTTCCCTGATCAGTTGTTACTTAATGTGACCCTTTTCTTTTTAAGATGGATACTTCATTTAGAATCCTTTATAATACACCTTGTTTTTATATCAGTTCTTACAAGTTACAGCAAAACAATTTTATTAAAATTGTCTTAGCCTTCCTCAAAATTATATCATTTGAGGAGATATTGTCCTGCTATTTGGCTTTTCAGGTCTACAGTATTGATGACTTTTCATACTTCATGGTTGGTTTAAATTAAAATTGTGGACTTTTAAAAGCTTGAAAATATATAAAATGCATATGTATAAAGCAAGATTTCCCCAAAACTCTATAGGGTTGTATGTGTGTGTAGAATTAGTAGTTATAGTTTATTTTTCCTGTAGAAATAAATCATAGTTAAAAGCCATGAAGGTTAAAAATTTTGCTTTTATATGACTATTATTTGAATTTGTGAAAGAAAAAAGACAATACTTTATTTGAACACTTGTCACTAGAGATTTTATTTTGACAACAAATTTAGCAAATCAATTTTTTTTAGTTTTAAATGAGGTTTACATATTTTACCTGTACTATCATGCAAATGAAATGACTTAAAGCAGGTTTAGGCACAGTTAATTTTGACTACTTATCTATTTTGGATTTGTATTCTTTGAAATTACTTGGAATTTTGAGAGTTTATAAAAGTGAAATCTGAGAACCTGAGTTTGGTTTCTTCTTTGCCACATCTCTGTTACTTTTAGATAGTCACTTGACTCTTGTCATCTTTAGTTTTTTTTTTTTTTCTGTAAAACAGCAATAATTCTATTATTGTCAGGAAGTACAAATGGGGCCCCTAAATATTAAAAGAGTTCACTTTGGTGTTTGAACAAAAAGTGATTAGTTAAAATAGTTCACTCTGCCCCCAACAGATTATACCATCCTACATGGAAAAATAGCTGGAGTTTACTATTTTATTCTACCATTTAAAAAAAAAATAATCAAACACATTTATTTATGTTTCAGACCAAATATTTAATTCAGCAAATTCTAACTACACCAAGAAGTATTCTAGCTCTAGTATATCATAGGGCATAGAATAGAGAGGT